AGTACTGATCCCTTGATCAAGGATGTTCCTCGTATCGACAAAATCAAAGGTAACCAGATCTCCAAAAGCTTTGAGCTTTCTCTTGAACGCTCCTCGATGTGTCTTGAAGTGTTTCATCTTTGCTCTGATGCATGACTCACAGTAGGGATTCTTGTAACGATGTGTGAGTAGATGCTCGATTTTCCTGGCATCTGCTTTCGGAGTTCCTCTTCTCACCATTCTACTTGCACCGTCAACAACATCCACCTCGATGTCATCTGCATCATCATCGTCAACTTCTGGTTCACTGTCTCCGGCGACATCTGATCCTACCTCATCTTCTTCTCCAGGAGATGCCTTGAACTTCTTATTCCTCTTTCGCCTTTTGACTTTTGGAGGCTCAATCACAGGGAGGTCGTCATCATCACACATGATTCCTTGAGGATCCACATCACAGTTGATGAAAGTCGATTGGTAATCAGCTTCATCTTCTCCTAGGGTGAACCTTGCGATCATCTCCGCCCTTGTATCGTCGGTGGGAGTACAGAAGTCACTGCCCTTGACAATATATGGGATGTTTCCCTCTACTTCTAGCATGATTTTCTTGTAGTTCGGGGAAACCATGTACGGGTTGCCGCAGGCTGGCCATATGAATGTGTATCCTTCCTCCATGCATTTCTTTCCAACAGACAGTACTGAAGGAGACTCATCTAGGACAAATGGGGAGTAGGTAGAGTCAAATTCGTCGAAATGAATGTCGGCGACTCCTTTTGTGGATGTCACTCCATTTGCAGTATAGAATGACATTGATTGGTCGCTTTCTCTCACTTCCAGACCTAATTTCTTGGCTCTGCCTTTCGATATCAAATCATACCCACATCCTGTGTCCATGATGAACTTCGTTCTTGATCCTTTGGCTGGAATAGACAATGTCTTTGTGTCTGCATGATCTTTCTTTCCCTCGCATACATGAGGAATGACTTTATGATGGAAAACTAGGCCGTCATCTTCGTCAAAAGACATAGTGACCGATAGGTCACCCTTTGGTCCAACTGGTATTCGGACCCTCTTGATCTCAGTGTAGGGGACCATCAATATGCCTCTCGCCTCTGCGACCTTTTCTTCAAATCTGATTTGTTCTTTCCTCGTGTAGCAGGTGAGCTCTTTCTCATCGTATCGTTTGATGTCCGGACGTAGAGGTTTCTTTTCTACTACCTTCCATTTGTCCCTGACTGAGTAGATCGCTTCGTTCAACATGATCTCACAAGTCTCTTCATCAAAGGATACTTTTGCACCTCTTTCTCTTGCCTTGGCGGATGCAGCAATCCCTTCATCTTCGGATTCGTCCATGAAGAGTTCACCGTCAATGGCTGGGGCTCCAGGCTTCGCCTTAGGCTTCGGTTTGGGTTTTGCCTTGGGCTTTGGCCTATCGTCTCCTGAGTCAGCTGGTGCAGATATCCCTTTCTTAGGAGAGGCTTTTGGGTCATGGTAGAACTTGCAATCCTTCCCTTTGTCACAAGTTCCTCGAATCCACATCCAACATACTGGCTTGTCATTCTTTCCGACAGAAGATCCTCTGGATGGTGATCTGGGTTTCTTGTGACTGAATGGGCAATCTTTCCCCATAGTGCAGTTACCTTTCACGAAGAATTTGCATGGTATCTTCTTCTTGTCTGTACTCGGACTTCGGCTGCGATCCTTTCCATCACCTTTACCTTTCCCCTTTCCCTTTTTGTTCTTGTCTTCAGGGTGCTTCTTGGGATTGGGTTTCGGCTTCACTGCAGCAGCGTCTTCTGAGACAACCTGTTCTTGTTGCCCTTTTGGTTTCTTCTTCGGATCAGCTGGTGCAGCTTTCAGTTTTGGAGCAGGTCCGCCTGGTTTGAGATTCTGAAAGATATTGGCCACATTTTTCACTGCCTTCTCCTTTTCCAGGATCATCCTGTCTTCAGTTTGCCGTTCGATGTGCCTTCTGATCATATCACGTAGATGTTTGTATGTCTTCTTGGCATCATCGTCGTTCATGCTGTTGTAGGCGCTGATGTCGTATGCCATGAGGTTTGAGTTCCTGATCTTTCTCCATAGGAGATCCCGAAGAGTTTCGTCGCTCGGGACGTCAACGGGCTTCATTCCTGCCAGAATCTCATCCCAAGTGTGGAAGAACAACGATAAGTTCTTGTCTCCTTGATATTCTAGTTGGTAGAGGTGCATTGAAGTATATAAGACTTCCACATTTGATGTTGTCTTGAAATTCATAAGGATCAGGGCTAGGACCTCTCTTCCCTTTATGAGGCTTGATGTTCTCCCTTTTGCATTGATCCTCGTCCTCAACTTCAAAGCTACACCTGAACCATCATCTTTCGCATCCATGACGACCTTGGTAAGAGCTAGGCCGAGTTTGGCATCGATTGAATGGAATCTTTGGTCTCCTGAGTCGACAAACTTGTCCGGATCAGGGTCGTCCATGGCTTCTTTGATCCAGTCGATCCAGGGCTCTTGATCTGAATCATTGGCCGCAATGATGATCGATTGAATGAGATTTGCCTTCCATAGTCCAAGATCATTGATCCTGGGCCATGACGGAACGTTTATCTTTGATTCTTCCTTCCTCGATACTTTCATGATTGTAGAGGTTGCCGGTGCAAGATGAGATGAAGAGGATGCTTCTGCTTCTGAAATCTTGTCCCTCAATGATTTGTTCGCCTCGGATAGCTCAATTGATTTCTCCCTTTCCTCGGCGTACTCATTGTGGGTTTCGGCATACCATTCATACATCTCATCTCGGCTCTCTGTCATTTCATTGTACCCGTCCTTGTAGTGCTTCGCCTCCTCTTTTGCGTTCCGAATCTCATCTTCCTCGGACGCGTGGGTTGGTAACCCGCGGTCTCTGGAACTAGGACGCTTGCTGTACCGAGAGACTATGGGTGCCATTCGTGCTTCTGCTTTTAATTTCGCATTTTCCATAATGACATTCTTTGTCTCCTTCTGGCTTTCCAATAGTGCATTCTCCAGTTCTCTGATCTTCTGTTGAATTTCAGCACCATCATCGCCGAACATAGGAGCTCTCATCATATTCTCTCTTTTCAGCTGTGCGTTGGCTTCGGATAGAGCGAGGTTGGCGTCTTTCAACTGTTGTCGTTCACGGATGGAACGTTCTAGGACTTCGTTGTTGAATATTTCTCCTTTTGCGATAACCTCCTTTGCGACGTTTGCTTCGTATTCATGGTGGCTCGCCTTCATTTCTGCCATTTCTTTAGCAGAGACTTCAGTCTGGCATACAAACATCTCCATCCTCATGCCCACTTCCATCTCTTCTATCTCCGCTCTCGCGTTGAGTTCAGCTCCACGTGCCATAGCTAGTTGACCTCGTAGATGATCAATAACCATAGCTTCCTGATTGCTCTGATCTTGAGATGAGTGAACACTGTGTTGAAGACGTCTTTCCCTGACCTCACTGTTCCATTGTTCTTCTCTCTGGTGTTGGATCACCTCGTGCATGTTGACATTCTCATCCTGTAGCGCAATCATTCTAGCTTGTATCTGGTCAGCTATTCCGACGAAGGCTGTGTTCTCATCCTGAATGGCTTTTGATCTTCTATTGATCGCCAATGAAGATTCATTCTGTTCTTGGATGTGTCCAATTGCTGCTTGAAGCTCTTGGGACATTCTGTCCTTCGTTGCTTTCACAGATTCAAGCTCTGAATGTTCTTGATGAGTTTCTTGTGCAAGCTCTTGATATCTCATGTAGATATGTTCAGCTGTCGATTCCGCCAAGCGTAGCTTGTGTTCGAGCTCTTCAATTCTTATTGTCGCTCCTTCATCTTCCTGTGTCATCTCTTGTAGATGTTCCTGCATCTTCCTGTTGTAGTCAGACATTTGCCTGAACTCCACTTCAGCCTCGTGGTGTAGTCGTGAGTATCCGGCTTGGATGCATTCATATTCTTCATGAAGAAAATTGTATGCGTTTCTCGCCGATCTCAATTCTTCACCCAGCTGAATCTCTCTTCTTTGCTCTTTTGTTCCTCTATCATCGTCACGTCTCTTCTCTATACTCCTTCTTGGGGATCTCGCGGTAGACGTTATAGGCGATGTAGATCTTGTTGTAGCTCTCATCGATCTTCTTGGTCCTACGGGTGCAAGATCGGTCAGATTCCGAGCCGGTGGCACGGATCTTTCCGAGATTTGTGATCCAGTAGGCATAGTGATAACGTCAGCATTTGCTGATGAATCAGTACCCATTGTAGAGTCTGGTGACGAAATGGTGTTGGGACCACCAGGAGCAGCGAATGAATAGGGTTCGCTTCCATTTCCTCCTGAGCTTGACATTGCAGGTTTCTGTAATGACTAGTCTTGTTCTTGGTCTCGTGTAGCTCGTACGGCTATAAAGAGCGCGTACGGCTGATAACCTGCGAGTGGATCTTAATCAGCGAAGTTTGAAGCTATCACTGACGGTCCATAAGCGGCGTAGCGTCGGAACGGAAACCGCACCTTTTCTAGTCGCTTGATCCTTGAGCCAAAGTACATATGGTACATATATATATGTACATGTTGCACTGTACATGTCGCTGCACTTCCATTCGCAGTATACTAGTACACTGCACTAGTTATTTTTAGTTATATTATACCAACTGTCCACCATACATCTCAAAAGAGTTCAACAATTTGCCTATAGTGTTGTTGCTGTTTTTATCCTCTGCTCGGGCCATGATTGCCAAGCCACGAATCACACATGGTCACGCATGTCAACATCTCTGAGCATCACATGCTCTCCGGCCCAGTGGGTAAACTCTCATGGTTCCCTTTCAAAATATATATATAAATGTCTGAGCCATTCACTTCTGACGCACATCGGGTGAATCCTTCAAGTCAATGCAAACAAAAACAAAGGCATCAAAACAAAGTATTCCTCAATGAAGACACAGATCGGTCTCCCCTCGTTCCCCAGATCGGCCTTGGCCGAATCGAACCGGCGATGACAAATCGATGGTCGGAAAAAGGTGAAAACACACACACGAGCCGAGCTCCTGCATCTCTTCTTCTGAGAGCTGCTCTTCACCGTCCTCCTCGCCGAACTCCCAAAACTCCTTGGGGCTCAAGAGCCCATCGCCATCCTTGTCCTTCAACTTCATGGTGTCGCGGACCACCTGGTGACACGAAGAACGCGACGTCGATGTCCTCTAGTTTAAGAAGTGAAGGTTTTCGATGGTTTTGGTATGTTTTGATGGTGATGTCCTCTGACACCTCGGTTCAAGAGATCGCTAACTGATTTCATATTTACAGTATACCAAAATTGAGACCTCCAACAGCGCTGGATGACAACAACATCCAAGAAAGCACACATGCCAAATTCTTTTGAAAGGTGGAGGAGGTACAGCTGACAAAAAGAATGCATGGTACCCATAAAGTCTTATAGAGTATATAGTGTCTTGATCCTCATTCAATGGCATGTGTATCCGCACTTTTCCCCATAGCCTAGTCCTGCTGATTCTACTGCAGCTGCCTCACGCCCATGTGACCCTGAAAGACAAGCGATCCTTTTTCTCTTCTTGTCTCACCAACGCGGTGCACTAAAGTTCTTCGGTTTTCTTCTGCTTCAACGATTCCAAATTGCGACCTGCCTCGGACTTGCCGAGCCGAGCCAGGGAACAACACACCATGGCTGGCACATGCTGGCAAAAGTACTTAACTAGGCCAGTGGGTCTTCCATGGACCCATGGAAGAACTTCCACGGATGGTCTGGTCACGTTATGCCTGCCAATCTGAGGAAACGTAGGTTACATTAGAATCATATTTGATCATCATTATAGTATAATACCTACAGTTACTGGTGAGTAACGAGGTAATACGAGGGAAGAAAAAAACAAAACTGTGTCTTTCTTGCTCCAACGAAGCTGCATGCGGGTGCCCGAGAGCATGCGCTTGTTCCAGGTACTCCACGGCACGATGTGGATTCTTCTCAGTGCCCCAACCGGAAGCATACATGGCCTGAGCGCCCACTGGGCTGTTTTGTGGATCACTGGGAGCCCCATGCTATAAACAGCGTCACCTTGCCATGTGGGAGAGGAAGACAAATCTGGAACCTGATCTTCCAAGGCTAATGTGGACTGCAGGCCCTAGGGCTCCTACCATATCCTCAGGTGCTTGGGGTGGCTGCCAGGGGGAGTCTAACCACCTTCTGAGGATATGGTTGGAGCATGCCGGAGCCCTATAGGATTAATATGGATTAATAACATCCTCTAGGCCAGGAGATGTAAAACCCTTCTGGAGACCGGGGATTTGATAAATCCCCTTCGTCGCTGCATGTGAATCCTCCACAAGAGATGAAGCACCTTCGCCGCTTCACCCGGGCGAGCCGAGCTGAATCTTTCAGGATCTTCTTGGGTCCGAAACCGATCTTCTTGGACCTGAAGGACTTCAAGACTCTCGACATGAAGGGTGCATCTTTAGTCTTACCTCCTTCCACGAGCGCCAAAAAATATTGAATGCCATGTTCATCGTGAAACACCTTTAAAGTGTTCCGTAAGCCGTAAACCAAGCAAAACGCAGGTTCAAAACTTCATGACTTCACCAAGCAACCACGGCGCCGCCCGCCGGTCCGTTCCGTTCCGGTCCCCTTCCTCCGAGTGGCTCCGAGGCTGTTGAAGGCCCGTGCCACCACGGTTTTGTTGCGCCCGGCCGAGGGCAGCGACGGATCGGCAGAGATCACGTCGGACATCTCTGCCACCACCTCGCTGGTCACGACCGTGATGGAGCGGGGAAGGGGTCACGGTCAAAGGCCAGGGCGGCAAACCACGATGTCGCTGGTAACTGGTTCCAAAGACTAACACCATAGACCTAGAACCCCTGGTTCGTTATATATATATAGTGATAACTGGGATGCACTGGGAAGCACATGCTAAATTACAAACATCATCAAAGATCACATATGTTCCTTCTTGCGGTTCCAGGCCCCACGCCTTTGGGCGTCATGTTCTTTCACGTTCCACTATTACAAAGAACTTGTTGGGCACCCTTTAAGCCATCCCGTGCTGCAGGTGCCTTTTCATCCCTGACTGGTTGGAAACCACGACATACAACTTATACTTCTAGTCAGCCGTAACCAGGAACCTCCCAATATGTCACCCATCGCCCACCCCACAAAGCCCTTGTGGATCTTCTACCACCTTCTACCCCTTGCTTTGGCAGGTCCATCATGGTCCACGTCTCATGCGATGCTTTCCCAGCCTTCTGGTACCAATAGATCGCCTCGGAGTAGTCTTTCCTTAACCAAAAGGTGACGCGCCGGACCAGTAGCGCGCGCAGCAAGCACTGTGGATGGTCCGATGTCTCTAGTTCGGAATCTGTATGATGGGATGATAGGGAGTATGACAGGTACAAACGATGCCGATACCAGCAGATGCCAGTAGCATCCAGTAGCCAACAAATCCCAACAGCACTTTGTCCACGTGCCAGTGCGACGAAGAGTCTTTGTTCCCTGGCCAAGGCGGTGCATATCCTCGGGCACATCACGTTAATGGACTGACATTCAAAAAGTATCTATGTTTGTTATGCTTTGTAACTTGAGCTAGTGCCGGGGATTCCTTTAAAAACTTATACTTGACCACCCCCCTGAAAATGGCCTTGGACCAAACCCATCTGCAAATCCATTACAAACAAGTTCCAGAAGGTCCACTGTTACAAGTTTGAAGGATTCAATAGAAATGCACAACTCTTCTTCTTGGCTGGATCCGAGTATCACCCAAATCGTTCATGGCACTCAATGAGCCAGCTTTGGCAGCGGAGCGGAACCATTTGAAGGCATTGCTCATTCGCTCCTCCTTTGACACATCAGCTAGGCCTGTACCGTTGTAGTACAACCTTGGTTGACATTTTTGGTTGACCCAAGAATTCCCAGAAACAGTTCCAAGCTTGATTCACGATTGATTCAAACAGAGTTTCATGCAGAACCCCACCGATCCAACCAACCAACCTTAACAATAAAAACACACACACACACACACACACACACGCAGCTTTTCAGTGTTGATCCAACGCACCCCACCGAGCCACTTCCCCAGAAGCTCCGCGGACTTCACACTGCCTTGCTGCGCCGCCTTGGTACCGTAGTCCACCGCACGAGTGGCATCGATCTGGAGGTCCTCATGTCCACGACCAAAGGCCGTGGCCAGCAGCTCCTGAGCATCTCGATCACCTGCATCCGCCGCCAACGTGGCCCACCGCAGTCCGGTGTGGAGGTCCTTCTTCACCTAAGTGATGGGACATGGAAGTGGAGGAGAAAAACATATATGAACTGGTTGTATGTGGATGTGAAATTGATTGGTTTAGTTGGATTAGTCTAATTGAATGTTTGTTATTGGATTCTCGCACCACAACAAGTACGAACAAGCACACCAAATCGATGTGCGGTATCACTAAATCATGCGTCAGAAAAACAGTCTGCTGGTGGGTGAGAGAAACGCCATGGACGCCATAAAAGAAGTCCTGGGCAAGAAGGGATTGCGCGGTGACATCGCCCTTCTCGGCTGCTTGTAAGAGGCCCTTGTGGATCCCCACGTCCTCGTCGCTCTCCATGCTCCAGCCGCTGTTGCACAAGAAGCCATGGATTTGCAGCAAGAAAAGGCCAAGATCCAGAAGAGAGGCCATGGCTGCAGCAAAAATATACGTACTATGCGGTCGGTGTTGACCGTTTGTTTGAGTTAAACTGGGTGGCGAGTGGTTGGTGTTCTTTAGTGTATGTGCCCCGAGTACCAAGGTCAGACCAAGGTTCATCGTGACACGGGTATATGAAGATGGTGAAGTGGCTTAAGTGGGGTCAACAAATACGCTAGGCGATGCTAGGCGGCAACGCACTGGAACTGCAAAGGGAATTCTTCCAGTAGGCACTGAGAATGCTGGATCTGCGTGTTTATTTCTGCAACAGTATCATACCTCACCGATCCACTCCTTCAGTCCTCTTTTGGGGTTCTTGCCAGGATTGGCAAATGTCTTTCAAGGATTTGCAGCCGCCCCAAAGGCGATTTTGCGCAAACGGTGCATGCATGGTGTCCACATGTATTCTAAGCGTCATGAGGAAAGGCAGCCATATGTCACATCAAAGCAATTTTTTGGGCGGGAGTCACTTCACTGACTGTTAGAGGGTGGTGTCCATTTTTCATGCTTGCTTTCAACTGAGTCTGCTGGTACAGCATCACACGCGGGCAAGCACAATACCATGCAATGGCCCTACATGGGGGTTGTTGATGGCTTCGAGTGAATCTACGATGATGTACAAGTATGTTGCAAACTGTTGTTTTTGTCAGCGATGTGCAAGAATCAATTGGTTGCCAATGGCTTGAGCTGCATCAAGAGTACAAAAAAGGAACCAAACGGATCAACACGCCCAGTAGCAAACCTTCAGGTGCTGAATTGAGTCTTCCTCCTAGATTAAGGTCGGTCGATGGGGACCTTCAGCGCCTCCATCAAACAAGCATTGTTTACACATATTTACACTATTTGATGGCCAGGAGAAAGAACGACTACATAACATTGGCATGGAACATGCACCTTCTCGTTCGAGACCACCATGCTCTAACACTGCTCTACAAATTGATACTTAACATAACATATATGTCACATGTCTATGTTCATGACCTTCAGCTGAGACCTGTACACATCCAAGACCCCAGCATGCGCCAGCATTTCCAGTTCGAGGTACCACGTCCAAAACTGCTGGGTTTGTTTCCGGATAGAAGAGGGAAGCGACTTCCTTGGGCTCAAGACATTGTCCTCGCGCGGCTGTCTCAGCCCGAAAGGGGGAGGACATGGTCATGGAGGTGTCAACGGGAAGGTGTTCAAACTAGTGACTGTAAGCCAAATGAAGAGTCCACAAAATTGCGGCCGCACCCGCTCCAAAGAGCGGCCGCTCAAAAGTGGCTTATGTTTGGGTACGGTCCTTGTCTGCATCGGCTGCTTTGAACTTCGCTGTCTCGACTTCTTTTCCTCACTTTTCAGAGATGTAGAAAAATCTCCGGAAGTGTCCGGTCCCCGGCTTCAAACTTCACTGGACGTCCAAGAACTGTCAACTTAGCGGCCATGGTCTTCAGGGGACGGCTGATGATGACTCCGGATAGGGAACATGTCCAAATCCCCTAACCAACGGGACGAGGTGTCTATTATTTTTATTTTTGAACAACACTTAGGTGCAAACATGTGCAAACTGATCGAACACCTTGAAATCCCAATCGGCCGAGCATCTGTTTTCCAGCTCTTTCAGCTCTTCTTCATCCCCACCATCGGCCTGGCGATGAAGGCGAGATTGTGATACTGCAGCATGTCTATGGTTCTATCATGTAATAATTTTGATGTTTAGGGATTTATATGCATCTAATCTGCAGGGCTTCACGGACTGAATCATAGCAGCCCGCTCTTTTTGGGGCTTGAATCAGCCAGGAACTCTTGGACTTCGATCTGACATCTAGCAGCGGTTGGGAGCCAGGCCTGCTGATGCAAGTCGTTGAGATGCTCCTGTAAGGAGAGCTTCCCATCCTTGTTGGTGTCGATCTCCTGGTGCTGATCAAGTGCCAAATGTCTAGATATGGCTAGGTATGTCTGGATGCTTTTGGATGCTGTTGGCCAAACCCCTTTGCGACCCGCCATAGAAGTTGAAAAGACTGAACCCCAACAAATCTGCTTTCTCTGTTGAAAGGAATCATCCATCCACCTATCATACAGCAATCTCCCAGCTCGCCTCCAGGATGGAGGCCACATCCTTTCCTGCGATGGCTTTGCTCATGTGCCGTGCGAATTCCAGCACCTGACCGAGGAGTTCGAGCAAAGGAGTAGCATCTCCAGCGTGGGGCAAAGATCGAAGCGCAATGGGAGGGACCATGAGAGACTCGAGCAAACAATCCATCTCTCAAAAGTCCATCCTTCAGTCAAGTACCTTCTCAGAAGGCACTTGGAACTCCAAACCTACATAACAGTGCCTCCAATCAATCACCATACCTGAGAAGGTGCGACTGGATCCTTAGGGTTTTTATTGGCGTGAACCTTCCTCAGTCCAGAATTAACCCAGCTCACCTCAGTGAGGGAGACCTTGCCATCTCCGTTCTGGTCGAACTTCTTGTGCAACGCTCTCAGCTGCTCGGCACCTCGGACGCGGTCAGACGAGGCACCGACCGGTCGGTCCAAGCGGTCGGTCTTCCTCGAAGGGAAAAGCGGCTCGGCTCGGCTTGGTGCATTTGTTTGTTTTCGGGCGCCAGTCGTCTATGTTGAAAAATGGTGTGGAAAACAACATGGCTCTGGTCCTGTGTTAACATATACAAAGCAATGCCACAGGTCCTGTGCTCAAGTCCAGGTCCGAAGAAACCCGTCTCCAAGCAGCTCATGGCCTCCTCGGCGATGTCCTGGGAGGGTCGGGCACGTGTTTCACAGGGCGAGACCGGGGATTTCTGGAGGTCGAAGCCAGGACATTTCTGAAAGAAGTCCATTTATATAGTCGATTTAGATGTGTATATATAATATGCATGTATCATTCATGTGTATATCCTCGGGGAGTTCAAACGTATCTTATTGTTACATGACTAGACAAAATAAATGCACACAAAAAAATGTCATAATATGACTCATGACTATATTACACAACGCAAATTATCCACACCAGAAACATCCAAAGTCGGCATTTTTCTGGTCCTGGTCGTCGGGAAAATCCTCCTCATCTTGACCCATGGCTGATTGGAAACTGCCAGCAAGCCAAAGGAGGACAAGGGAACGATGCCAGCGGAACATCCTGCTGCGGCCTCAGTGCAAGGAAAACTCACTAATCAAAGTTAGATTTCTAAGCACCTACCAGAACGGCCAGAATTGATTAACATGTAATTTCAATGCTTTTATATACTCAAACCAAAATCCGAGATATCAGCTTCTCTTGAATAAGCTCTTCCGGCGTCCTATGTCGTACTCCATGATGAACCACGGGAAGAACACAAAAAAGATTTTTAGCTGTGTCACAACAAACTCTTGCTTATTATTCTAATGATGTCTAATGAGTTGTCATACATGGACACCCGAGCCTGCCAAACACAATGCATTCAATATGTCTCGACGTTACATGCCAAGCGGCAAAAGCAACTCCCGACTTTGGTTGGACCCGCGCGCTTCTCTTCTACGCTGGAGCCGGGGTGCGCCACGTAAGGCAAGGCAAATTCAAACATACAATAAGCAGCCCATATCATACAACGCACTCGCCTGAGCCCAAAGGCTTGAAGGGCATGTTGATAAAGGCAAACAACAAGTACAGCCCGGAAAACTAAACCGTAGTGATTCCAAAAACACAAGTAAATCCTGCCCCTCCCCCTGGATTCAAATGGGGGATGGGAAAAAAAACGGTCACATGGGACAAAGGCTTTGGTCCGTAAAGCAGCCAACATCCCAATTCTTCATCTCGCCGGTGATCTAGGGCTAAAATGCAGGGAAGGTGTTCAACCACTTTAAAAATATCTTCAAGGGTTTGACATGGTTTGACCATGGGATCTTCAGGGAAACTCTCGCAGCAAGGATGGCAAGCAACATCCACCAATCTAATTAGCACAAGTGTATGCAGGCTTACATTCAACTACTAGCCCCGTGTGGTCGATGATGCTCCTATCGAGGCCCTCTGTCGAGGCCCGATCACGACACCAGCACATCCCAGATTCAAAGCCGACAAGCAATGCAAAATACATGTCTGCGCTCCTCATCTGCTCGTAGTGTAAATGTGGCAAAGGGTTCGACGAAAAAATCCAGTCATGCGCCAGAAGTTCCTGATTCGCACCAACAGCAACTGCCACTTGTGTTTGCCCCACGCCAGGTTGCGCATTAGACACCTGATTTGAGGGATCAATCAACCCTCAATTGGTTTGGAAAATTTGTCATTTGTTTCATCTTGTTTCCGTATGTTTCCGTACCCCCCGCCAAAAATGACCAAACACAAGGGCTCATGGGGAATCCAAGGGCTTCCCTGTGGTCTCCTTCGATTGATCCGTTGCCCTGGCGCACCAAACATGTACAAAGCTCCTTCTAGATTCTAGATTATCATTTAAATCAAGATCCGAAACGAGGTGATTGTTTACGCTTTTGGGATCAGTCTTCAGTATTAGTCAATGCTATGCGGCTACGCCAGGACTGCTCGGATGCTATACCAACTGAACAACAAAACTCACACCACTGATGTGGACAGTTGATTAATAAAACCAGTGTTAAAACATACTTGCAATGTTTTTCTAAAACGCACAATCAACAGTCAACATTCCTTCCTCTGGTTCTTTCCGGCAGCTGGCATGCACGGGACCAAAAGAAATGTCATTCTCATCTATGCAGCGTGGAGTGCTGGTTTTCCAGCACCCCGCCACAGCGGCAGCGCTGTGGTGAATGGGGACCCGGCTTACCATAAGGTCCATGATTAATTTGCAGATATTTGCAGTATAATTAACTATATGTTATACTATTGTCTCTTGGAAGAACACCATAGATTAGATCGAACTGTGCTTCCTCATCCGCATTTGGGATATCATGCACCTCCATGTGTGACTTGAGTCAGACCCTTGTGATGACATCACACCTGGAACGACCCCTCTGGCAGCTACCGAACGAGTAGGACCAAGCGTCTGAGAAGCCGCGATCCACACGGATCTTCAAGCCTCACCGGTGAAGCGATCCACACGCGACGCGTGTCTTCGCGTGCGGCTTAAACCTGGTCGGGGAGGGCCGGGGAGGTCTTGGTAAAGACTTGGCTGGTCTTGGCGTAAAGACTTGGCACATTTGACATCCACAAAAGACTGCACCCCCCCAGCCCCATGTACATTGTAGATCGGATTAAGTGTTGCCTTTGTGGAAGGAAAGCCGGGATTCCAATTCCCTGGGATCTGTGTTCTTTTGTTGACCTTTCACTGAAGTATCCCACACAACAAAGCTGCTTTTAAGCACGGTTGACGGTTGATTAAAAATACATAAGTTGATGGGTGCTCGCAATGTGTTTCTACAATGGTTGTTGAACCATTTTTGGCTAATCATCAGGCTGCAGGTGTTGGGTGGTTGTCATTGTAGGCGACAGTTTGAGCAAGGTGAAACTCCATTACCTGTTCACATACAGGTTTCAGACCTGCCCCAATCAACACATCCACCTCAACAATGCATGGAGATTTCTCCGGTACTCCATGCCAGGGCAACTGCCAGGGCGTTCTCAATTTAAATTTATCAATGCATTACAGCCCTGGGGGCGCCACAATATGCCAAAATGGACTCAAGAAACACCCTGTGGTCCATGCAGCTTTGCCGAGCGGCCCAAGGCTTTGGCCAAGGGGGTGACCGTCTGCAAGCAGCGGATGAAGGGGGAGGAGAAGATGGCATCAATCTCGATGCCACTGCCCCTTAGGGCATGCCAAAGAAATGAGTCGTTGGCCGAAACCGAACTTAACTGACTCAAGTCAAGTCCAGGAAAACCCTTGTATCATCATAGCAAGGGGTTGGGCGAACTGCCTGTAGCTCTTTGGGGAATATGGGGAAGGACTGGATGCCCTTGGCTCCTTAGCTCCGTCCTGTGAGCACAGTTCAGGCTGACCGTTTGTGGGAACCCTCAAAGCAGCCACTTAGTCATGGGGAAAAAAAACAGTTCATCTGTAAGTTCCTACTCTTGAAGAACTTTGACAGAATCTCATGGAAGAACTCCTACTCCCTATATTACTCCCTATTCTTGCACTTTTGATTTCCCACTCCTACATGCTAACATCTGGAGCTTTTTAGACTTGAACTCCTTATATCTCCACTCATTATATCTCCACTCCTGCTCTCTCCTGCTCGTAAAACCAGGACTTCATGCCCAAACGAAACATCGAAAAGCGGCCGAAACATCTCCGCGAGGCCCTCGGCTTGGAAGAAGCCCCTCCTCTCTCGAGAGGCTGTGATGAGACGGTGCCCAAGCTGATGCCTAAATTGTTTAGGGGGGAACTATCAAACTTCCTCCAACAAAGAGAGAGAGAGAGAGAGAGAGAGGAGTTTGTGACAGCAGGGTGCCCTCGAAGATCATCGAAGCCCTGGCCGCCGAACTCGGCAAAAACACTAGTCACCTATAGCTCACCGAAAACTGCTCGTATCGACGGTGGACACGAGCAGCAAACTGCAGAATCTGAACTTCCCAATCTCGAGCACCACGTTTCTCCCTGCACCAAGCGGTGTGTTTGGTGTTTTGAATCTCTGACGATAGGCTAAGGCTAAGGTCTCTCCAACAAGAACCCCGAACCCGCCGGGTGTGACCCCGCCGTCAGGGATCCATCCGTCACCGCGGTTCTCCGGGTGAGTTGTGGATCGAAGCCCGTGGAGTAGCGGTGTCCATGGCGCACCAGCAGCACGCGCTGCAAGTGCTGCGGTAGCTCCGTCATGGCCGGCCCGGTGGCGGACCAGCACGGAAGAGCTTGTCTGCAAGAGACTCGTTGCACAATGTTGCTGGTTCAACATCCTTGTAGGGAAACCAGTGTCAGGTGCTGTGAACGACACCATGCTCCACTAGATTTGCTCACAAACACCATGCATTTGCTCATGCATTTGCTCTAAAAGCACCCGCTCCAGGGAATATCACATCCGTCAGTTTCCCCCAAAAAAGCTGTCAGCTGTTCTCCGATGGGTCTTCTCTGTCTCTGTTGCAAGTTGGGGCAGTTCCAAGCATGTCAAACGTATTTTGACCACATATGACCATCCCCGGACAGGGAGGTGGTCACCTTGCCATGGGTTGGCCAGGAACCGCCTTCAGGTAGGTGGGTAGGTTTTTTGCGGTCCTGTGAGGGATTCACACCCTGATTCGACCGCATTCCACGTGTTGAGACCTTTGCTGATGTCTTTCTCTTCATGGTCTCGTGAGAAGTCGGATTCCCAAGAAGTGTCTTCCAGTCCAAGGCCTGCTCTTGGGATACGTGATGCATTTTGCCCATGATCAAAGGTTTTGGCTGAGAGGAAGCAGGACGACTTGAGTTTGTCTGTCTCAAGTTCAAACAAGGTCCGCCTGGAGTGCCTGCAAACATGCGCGTCAATTCGCATCTGCTTGGTGCCCTAGCACCCTAGCAGCTATGCCTTAGCACCCTTGTATTCAATATGATCAACGAACCGACTCCAAAAATGCAATCCAATTGGTTAGAAAGAGTCAAATTTGTGACAACCTTGCAAGCAAAGTAGTCAGGTTCCCTGCCTGCAAAGCTGGACGATACTGCTTCAAGGCCTGGCCGCGGGAAATGGTGAAAGAACAGGAAACAACTACCAGTACCGGTGCCTTGTCTCCTTGAGGATGACGGCTTTGGCTACAACTATGACTATGACTCCTGACTCAATACCGCTCATGCAAAGCATCCAGAACCCAACCATCGCGCTGGTTTCTGGCCTGCTTTTGTTGATGCTCCAGCACCATGGCCTTAAGTACCTGGACCTGGCAGGTGTCAAGTGTTCATGGTCCACGCAGGGAGAGAAGGGAAAAAACACTTCTGACCTGGAACTACCTGGAACATCGGCAAAGTGGGCCAAGAAAGGGACCCCGACGGGATAACTTGGCACCGGCTTTGGTTTATGGCTCCGGCTTTGAGAGTCCTGGTTTGTGTTGGGGAAAACGGGCACCTCCTTGGCAGTTTCCATCTCAAGCACGCCATGTCC